TTCATATGTCAAAATTTTATAGCTATCCACTGGTAGATACTTTTCAAACAAGCAACGATTTTGTAAGAGGAAAAGTAAGAATTCTTATGAATGAATAACAGTTATATACATTTTTTATTAGATGTTAATTTACTACGACATGACATTTTCATCATACATCTGAGAGCTCTCTTCTGACCTATAAAAAGTCGATTAACAAAAATGTTTTGTCCATCAAAAAGTATTCTATATGTTATGAAGGATTCAAAATTAGAATGATGAACAATACTAAGAGTTTTAAGATCCCACCGTTTGAGTGCTTCATCTATGTGTATTCCAAGAAATTTGGTTTAATATTATAAATCAAGGTGTATTTTCTCCATCAAGTCCACCTCTTGAGGCAGAATATTATTGCCATGCTTGGACTTGAAAAAATCATGACATTTGTGTTATCTTCATTTAAATCTAATTTATTCCTTGTAATCTATTCCGAAATCTTGTTGCAAAAAGATACACTGCTTTTTGGTATATCCCATCTTTGTTTTGTACAATTATGAGAGTACTACTTAGTACCATCTGCTTATTGAGTGATTAGGGCTACCGAGGAATAATCATGATCTAATGATGTATCGTTAACAAAAACTATAAATGAGGGGTGCTGCCCAAGTATACTGCCCTGAGGGGTGGATTTCAGTTTATTTAACAATACTACCGTTGTTAGTAGCCACATTTTTTTGCATTTTCATGAGAGATAAGATCTAATACACTTTATAAGGCAATATCACCGTTTTCAAGACATTTAATAATTTGGCCGTTTAATTGATAAATTGCTGTGTTTGCCGATATACACTTCATAAAACCGTGTTGTGTTTTAAATATTAAAAATCTGAAAGAAAGTAAACTCATAAGCCTGTAATTCATGACATGTGGGATCTGCTTTTTAAACACTGGGATATTTGTTCTAGATTTGAGTTTATCTGAGAACATACTATATCTCAAAAAGTTATTAATGATGTAAGTCAAAAGTATAGCAAAGAGACAAATGCAAGTCTTTCGTAGGCTTGTATATACAGGGTGGCGCATTGAAAACGAAACAGACGCATTTACTGGCAGCTCAGTTTGTTTGGAAAAACGCTCAAACCCGTCGATTTTGTTTTTGAGGGGGACACAAGTTTGGCAAAAAATCACGTTACCACGTGCAGCCCAGGGGGTGACACAACCCTAATATCTTAAATGGAAAGGGGGGTTGAGTGATACCTTATTTTAAAGGTCTTTCAATTCCCTTTATAATGATGTAAAATACATTAGCTTCAGTTCAGTAGTTTTGAAGATTTATTGATTTAAAGCTTAAAGTAGACTTTATTAGGTACATCAGATTAGTTTGCACTACTTTCAGAAGAAATTTGACTAAAAGAATTTACTTAATAAGTGAATGCTTTTCTTCACTACGCCCATGACTTGTTTATCATTTTGTTGTTGAAAACAGCTAAAAGATAAGGAAATATCTCGTACTCATTTTAAATAGGAATTTAGTAGATAGTTTGCGATTGCTTTGACCAAACTTTGTTGCTAAAATAACTTGTAACGCTTTATTACATAAATTAACCATGGTATTCCACAGCAGAAAGAGTTGAAATTATCGAAATATTTTTCGGAAATAATCAGTGCGCTAATAGAAGAATAGAACAGCAGAAATATTTAATGAGCGACATGAGACCAGTAACGTACATCGAAAATATGTTCTAGAACTTGTAGCTAAATTTCGGGAAACTGGGTCAGTCGCCAATAAAAAATGCAACATTGAAAATCCCATGAGGAACGAAGCAATAGAAGTGGGGGTTTTACGGCAAGTTTATGTAGATCCTACGTTAAGTACCCGCAAATTGGAGACTGTGTGTGGTGTTAGTCGACGTACTGTCCAACGAATTCTAAAGGCCCACAGTTTTCATCTGTATAAAATTCACCTGGTACAAGAACTTAATGAAGACGATTTTGATAGGCGATTACAATTTTGTGAAGATATGAGTGAATGAATTATAAACGATGAACATTTTCTATTCAACACTTGCTTTTCCGACCAATGTTCCTTTTTCTTAAATGGCGTAGTAAATCGTCATAACTGCCGATATTGCTCCGATTCTAAACCCAGAATTTATCATGAGGTTCATACACAGCAGCCACAAAAATTAAATGTTTGGCCTGGTATTTTTTGCGATCATTTAGTTGGTCCTTTTTTCTTACCTTGAAATTTGACCGGTGAAATGTATTTGGAATTACTGGAAGGCGCCATTGATCCTGCATTAACAGCCATAATTGAAAATCAGAATGATCGGCGGTACATTGTGAATAGGTTGACGTTACAACAGGATGGTACCCCACCACATTACGCAATATTTAGATAATACGTTTCCAGATCGATAGATTGGTAGAAGAGGTGCCATTGAATGGCCCCCAAGATAGATTTATCACCTTTGGATTTCTTTATGTGTGGTCATTTAAATAGCAAAATCTATGCTACTCAGCCAACATCATTAGAAGACCTGCGACAAAGAATTGTGAATAAGTTCCTTCAAATTACTCCTCAAATGTTGCAAAATGTGCGGCAACGTTTTGAGCAAAATCTTTATTATTGCATGGAGAGTCATAGTGGTCACATTTACTTGCCTAACGAGTCAGTTCATTTTTCATGTTTAAATTACTTTGCTGCCATATGTATTGATCTCCACTAATGATGATGTATTAATTTTATTTAAGCTTTAAATCAATAAATCTTCAAAACTACTGAACTGAAGTACATTAATTTTATACCATTATAAAAGGATTTGAGAGACCTTTAAAATAAGATATCACTCGACCTTTCCATTTAAGATTTTGAGGGTGGTGTCACCCCCGCTTCGGGGGCTGCACGTGCTAACGTGATTTTTTGCCAAACAAAATCGACGGGTCTGAGCGTTTTTCAAAAAAAAACTGAGCTGGCAGTAAATGCGTCTGTGTCGTTTTCGATGCGTCACCCTGTATAAATACCAACTTCAGCACTACTCACTGTTTTTTAATTTTTTACTCAGCTCCAGCAATTCTTCAAACTCGCATATTCAATTTATGTTAGAATTTCAGATTAATGTATTGAGAATGATATAGGCATAGTTGGAATCGTCTTGATCAAATTAGTGACTACATTTGAAATTTAATTATATTAACATATTCATTTGTAATGTTTTCAGCACTACCAGGAATAAGTGATTTACAATTGATTTCATGGATTATGGGCCAAACTTAACTTATTATATTATTTGCGAACATCGTTGTAGGCTGGATTAAACTTATTATCTACGCTACTTAGCGCATAAAGTATGTGTAGTTTATGTTTACATTTTTTTATATTTGGATCACGATCGTTGATATACTTTGGTAATGCATGGCGCTATTTTTAAAGGAAAGTAGCACCCAAATAGTATCTAAAAGGTCCCGATAAAAGCATCCCACTGATCGTGTACCTTTTCCTCAGGCATATGAATTCACCCTAATTTGCAATAGACAAACATAACATCCATGGCTCAAAAATTTTACTTTGGAGGCCGGTACGGATAGCATGTAAAGAACCTATAAAACGTCAAGAAAAACTATAAAATGTCATCTTGCAGACTAGGTAGTTTTTAGGGTGCAAACAGTCATTCCACGTTTGCTCACTAAGGTCGTTGTTAGAGTCCATCTATGGAGGAATGACTCAACTAAACTACACGAATTGCTGGTTGCATATGTTTTGTAAAGGCGACTTTGTTGTTTTCATCTCTGGGAAGAAGGTTGGTTGAATAACACGATCGCATCTGGATGATTATGTGCATTGTTCTACATGTGTATAAGATCAGTGATATTTGTTGTGAGAGAAAATTATTACTGAATATGCTGCCAATGAAGTATATCTATTAGCTGTGCCCGACGGGCTATTTAACGTATATGTTGATCTTCCTGAAGTCAGATTATGTTCAAAGTAATCAATTACGATTTTTTACGTTTCTTGTGTTTTCAAAGACTTTGAGGAGAATTACGGGAAATCACCACCGCACCCGCGTTCTGTGTAATTACTCTTAGCATGTATATAACTTGTAGTTCGACAGTGTACAGTGAATATAATTATTTCTTATATCTCTCTTATTTTTGAAATTCAGCAAATTTGCTTATGTAATTTCCAGAATGGACAATGGAAAAAGTGGACGCGCAACTAATTTCTAGCTTTTAATCTCAAGTAGGTGTATTTGAGACAAGAATCCAATAAAATTATTATCAAAACATATTATTAGCACACAAATCCTCACTATTTACTTATTCATTGCCGTTACCTCCATAATGCCATCTCTGAAGCAGATTTTACATCACATCATAGCCAAACATTAATAACTGAAGCCTCATGACGTTTGGGCAACACGTACAACTACAAAACGAGTTCACAAAAGTGTCCATCAGCTAGCGCTAAGTTAAAATCTTGTCGAAAAATCTACATAATGTCCAAAAAAGTCGATATAACGTCACAAGACAAAGATGTGAGTACCTATCTACCTAATGAATTTATATTTTTGAGTAAGTATATAATAATTCTAGCCAGCTGTATTTTTTTCTCGGTCAATATTTTTTCCGATTATAAAAGTCGTGCCAAAGATGGTGGCAAATGTGTAATTTGCGTGACATTTGCAGGTTTATTTTTAAAAAACATGTATTTGCCGTTCTGGGGATAGTTTAACACATTTGATCATTTCGTTTCAAAATTGCCTTTGCAGGTCAATCAAATTTTAAAATGTTAAATTCCTAAATTAACCTAATGCACACGCAACATAGAGAAAGAAGGGTATGTATATACTGATGACTTTGTCACACATATTTATAAAACCAATTATACTTCGAAAACCTGTCAACTTCGCACATAGTGAATAGCTACGCTGTGCCATTCAGAGGAAAGCTGTGCCATAGAATTTGCTCATTGGAACAGTCGTCATGAACATATCGCGTGCTAGTCCTACAAGGCTGACCTGACAGGCGCTAGTCAGTATGACCGCTCCTTTCTCACTGTCGATCAAAAGCAGAAATCGGTATAAATTCCAGCGCACCATCCTGGCCTGCGTTAAATGTACACAACTTGTCATCGTGTGGGAGTCGACGTGCGACTGTTTCTTGACGGATTAATTTTCCGATTTGGTGGCTCCCGATCAATCGAACTGCTCTGTCTGCGTTCGTCACGGTGGCTGAAGCGAACGGATACTGATACCGCAATGGCGTAGGACAAACATACTCACTACAGGAACACAATGCTGTATAGATCTGCGTCACCACAAAACGCAATTGTAAAAAGGTTTTATCCCTTAATGTATTGGTACATCACGCCCCATTGATACAAATTACAAACCAGATTAAAATCTGGTGTCGCACAGTGGTCTAGAACACCAAAAAGCTGAACATATACGATTTTCAGTACAGCAGATTTTCTAGGGTTGCTGATTTCTGAAGTCTGACACTCTAGTCCAGATGGTTATCACGCAAGTTTTTCTAGTCGCCGTGTCAGAGATTAGTTTGCCTCTAGGTGGCATTTGTATGAGATTATAGGGAATAATCTTAAAAAAGTTGAGTTACCGTACACCATCACCTGAAATAATATTGCAGTATGAAAGATACAATAATATGACAGCATAAGAAGTTAGGTTAGGTCAATAGTTTGCAAATGTTGGCAAAAACTGACATTAGATTTTATCTGACAGTACTTCAAGGTTCACAAACATAATTCATTTCATCTGGGACAAGAAGTGGAACCTTATTAAAAACCTCTTTGAATAATATTAATATAAAGGAGAAGTCTAGCTAAAAATATCAATCAGTTCAACTCACAGGGTACATGAAAACAACAACAATTGCAGCTTTCTATAACATCAAATAAAAGTTCTATTGTGATTCATATCTAAATGTTCAAATATTTTCAATACTCAATACAACGAATGATACAGGGGCTCTCCAAGTATGCCGTTAAAAAATAGTGTTGAATCATACACCAAGAAGCTTCAAATTCAATAGTTTGTCATGGTAAAGGTAGAGCAAACAATGTTCTGATTTGATGGACCTTATTTCCATAGTTTGTTTTTTCAATTTTTGACAGGTTGTTGAATAAATCGACTACTGTGTGTCGGTGAGGTTCAAATCCACAGCTCTGATAGTCAGCTCTAGTTCTAGTACCTAGTCGTAAGCATTGTAAGCGAACTTAACTAATAATATGTGTGCGCCATACATGTGTTTATTTTACTAATACTAATACATATAAGAAATGCGTGTTCAATGAGAAGCCTGGCACTCAGACTCACTCTCAATTTTTTTAATGTTTGGAGTATAATTTGATACCGCTATTCGACTACAATTATCCAAATGTTCATTTGTAAGTCGATTACGGTATTTGTTTTTAATAAAATTAATATTTGAAAAACATTCACACAAACAGGTTGAACTAAATAACGCTTTCACGACATAAAGCTGGATATTTATCTTCACTCACTGAAGCTCAGATACATTTTGTATTTGAGAATACTGATTTTGAAGCTAAATCATTTTTGAAACGCGATCGCTCCCATTTCTTTGGCAGTGATGTCCTCGCTAAAATTCTGCCTAACGGAAGTTGCAAACTGTTGGACATCGATTACCATGAAGGGTGAAACAACAAATCCTCCAAGTTAGAAAGTATTTCTACATGATATTTCTAATGGACTTCATAAACGCTTTTGTATCTGAAATTATTTCTGCTAGCTCTTTGTCTCTCCCTTGAAGCTGCAAATTAGGTTGATTTAAGTTTTCTGTAATATCCACAAGAAAACCAAAATCTGTAAGCCAGATTGAATTTTCCAGTTGCGGAATCGGTTCATCACGTTGTTTGAAAAATTGAACTATGGCAGATATGATATCATTAACACGTTTCAGCACTCGTCCTCTACTTAACCATCGGACTTCAGAGTGAAGAAGTAGTTCCCCGTATTGGCAGTCAATTTCATCGGCCAGGATTTTGAATAATCTTCATTGTATCGGTTGAGCTCTAAATCTTGTTCACAATTTTTACTACCAATTTCATAACGTTGTTTAGCTTTAGAAAATGTCCACACAATGCTTGCTGATGGATAATGCAGTGGTAACAGAGAAATTGCGGAAAACATTCATCTTTACGACATCGCCCGACGAGACTCTTATCACGACCCACCTTAGCTGGAGCGCCATCGGTTGTCATTTTCGATATTGAAATTATCTCAGATGAAATAATATTTTTAAAAGAATAAAACAAGTCCTGCCCAGCAGTCTATCCTTTTAGTGGAATGAGCTTCAAAAGATCTTCTTTAATCGTAAAATCACTAAAAACCATCCTGACGAACAACGACATCTGTGAATTCATCTTATTTACTATTGCTTCTACCCGTCTCATCACTGTATTAGCAGAAACTTGCATAGATTTTAAAGCAGACACCATCTCGTCTTTATTTATCTAGGACACCCGGTATGATGTTTCACTTGCAGCCTTTTTTCTTTTTTATATCGAAGCAGTCGCGCAGGCTGAAGCCTAAATGCTGGAACACCGCAGCTGCTACGATGATCCCAACGAAATTTTATTAATACGATTTTTCAGCTGCCTAAGGTTAATAGAACTGGTAAAAACTTCCTCTTGTAGATTGTTCCACAATCTCGACAGCTTCGGGACAAAGGAACGGTCGTATCGGCCGGTTCTGGATGTACGAAGTTAGACACGGTTAGGATGGGACGCCAAAGTCAGGAGGGTCTGTCTGGCAGGCACATCGCGCGGCGGCATCATGGAAGAGAGCTCTGAGGAGCAAAACCCGTTGGTGTAACGGTAGAAAAGAGCTAGACAGCCCAGAGTCTCGAGACTGTCTGTTAGATAAATGTCATCGATCGGTCCGACCGCCCTCCTCTGGACAGCATCGAGCATGTATAATGTAGACGGGGTGGCAGCACCCCAAACGTATGAGCAATATTCGAGGCTAGGCCTTATCTGGGCCTTGTATATAGAGTGAGAAGGTCATGCGGAGAAAAGTACATCTTAGCCCTAAACAAATAGCCTAGCTTTTTCCCAGCAGCTGCAGCTATTGACGAGACGTGTTCGTGCCAGATCAGGTCCTCGGTGATCTGGACTCCGACCAGCCGAAATGAATGGCTCTTTGGCAGAACTCGACCATCCATCGAATCCGGGTGAGCGCAGGGACGCTTTTTGTTCGTTAAAGTACTGTACTGCATTTTGGAAGCATTGAACTGTACAAGATTGTTGCGTCCCCAAGCAGTGATAGCCTCCAGGTCTCTTGTCAGAGAGGAAGTCATCGCTAGTCGTCTTTTTTCCAACTCAGCGGCAGAGATTGGCTTGTTACTCTGAATTCCTGCCTGTAGAGTGCTGTCATCAGCGAAGCTGTGGATTGGGTTGATAGTGCAGGAAAGGAGGTCGATGATATGTAAGAGAAACAGTGTCTGAGAAAAGACCGATCCCTGGGAAACACCCGCGTTGACGTTGTGGGATGAAGACGAGAACCCGTTAACTACGATGGATATCTTGCAGCCAGAGATAAAGTCAGCCACCCATCTGCAAAGCTTTTCTGGGAGGCCATAGGATGGAAGTTTGCTTAAGAGAGCAGCGTGCCACAGCTGATCGAACGCTTTCGTGATGTCAAGAGCAATACATGAGCCTCACCATAAGACTGGATGAGTTTACTCCACAATTGAGTGACGTAAGCTAGGAGGTCCCTTGTGGATCGTTGGTGCCGGAAACCATACTGCCTATCGCTAATCAAGCATTGACGTTCGAGGTAGTCCAGAAGCTTGCGATTTATGCACTCTCCATCACCATACTTAAAACCGAAAGCAGAGCTATAGGCCTGTAGTTGTAAGGGTGGGTCTTAGATCCCTTTTTAGGATGGGGTGGACATGAGCAAATTTCCAGTTTTTTGGAAAGGTGCCGGATTCATAAGGCATCTGGAAGAGACGCGAAAGAACTGGAGCCAGTTCCGGTGCACACCTCTTCAGTACAATGGCAGGAATCAAGTCATGACCACAAGGTTTGTTGATCTCGAGCGACAAGAGCACTCCCGCATAGTGTAGGGAACCCTTTGAATTGACGGCACTTGGGCGTTGGGGGGACGTCCATGGTGGAGCTGGCAGCAACGATCTTGGCTAGCACTTCCGCCTTGGCCTTTGAGTTGAATACAATAGTTCCATTCTGACACGTAAGTGGTGGAAGGCTACTGTGTAGGAAGGTCTTTTCAATCTGCTTGGCCAGCGTCCAGAAAGACCAACTGCTATTGCGCTGCGACATTATCTTGCACCTAACATTTATATCGTGCTGGTTCTTGGCATTGCAAACCGGTACTTCATACTTGTTTCTGGACTCAACGTCGGCTTGTCTGTTCTCTCCAGTGGGGTTTTGTAAGAAAGTTCTGTGTGCCTTGATCTTCTGCTGGCGAGCAGCGTCACATGATTTGTTAAACCAGCCGTTGGACCCTGGTTTAGGCACTTTCACTGTATGAGGGATGTATTCGTCCATTCCGACGTGGATAATTTCGGTTATCGAAGAACAGGCAGCCTACGCATCCGCGCCAGTGAAACAGACGTCTATCCAAGGAAAGCTGGAGAAGAAGTCTCTGCGCCCCCCCCAGTCGGCATGTCCGTAATGCCAAGTTTTGCGGCCTGTACGAGTTTCTGCTGCCACAGCGGGTTCTGACCGAACCCTAACCTCCACAACACCGTGGTCTGAGTTACCCAGGGGGGACAGGACAGCAGTGCTGTAAGGGACAGGATGCGTGGTCAGAAACATATCCTGCAGGCTACTGGCGTGTGACGAGACGCGGTGGAAAAACGTAGTGCTCGTCACCAGCTACGTCAGCCCTTGGGTAAGAGCGAACGCTTCGACTGCATGACCTGCTGCGTCGGTCTTGTTTGAGCCCAACCAAAGCTCATTATGGGCATTGAAATCACCGAGAAGAACTACCTCTGAAGCTTGATGATTGATGTTCAGGAAGTCGATCTGGACGGCGAGGTATTCGAGTCGGTCATCCCAGTTGTGGTACGAGGGAGAGAGATAAAGGCAGCAAATAAATTTGGATGACGTCTTGGAGTTGAGGTGAAGCCACAGAATGTCCTTCCGGTCTGA